CACTTCCTCTTCATTGCAGTTCCTGGCTCCTGTCAGACAGTCTCCTCAGACCCCTGGGAACTTGGCTCTGGTCGCCCTCGGTGGCTCCCTGCCACCCCTGCCCCACTTTGCTCTTCTGGCCACCTGCCAGTCAGGAGGCTGCTGGGGCACCCTGCTGTGTGCAGCATGGGGCAGGAGGCTGGGGTGTAGGGAGCAGCTTCAGTAAAGTTTAGTAAACCTTGGGTTTGTGTAGGGATTCGGCTGCAGCTGCGGGCTGCAGGGGAGTCTGGCTGGGTGGGACAAAATCGCATGAGATCCAGGGTCCTGTCCGAGGCCTCACAGCCCTTCTCACCCTGCTGAAAGGTCATTATGTGATGGTGTCCCAGCATCTTCCTCTATTAGTATAGATTTCCATTTAAATTGCCATGTGTGGTTAGTGGCTACTGTTCTGAATCCTGCAGTTTTAAACATTTTTTGCTAATAAAAACTAAAATTAATTTTGTATTTTATGGTTTATAAGGGACTTTGTCATTAGCCCTAGCCCTTTCCTCCTTTTTGGCCATTTCACAAACTTGCATTGCTTCCATATGGCTTTGAAGGATTCAGCGATTAATTAGATTATGAATTAAAATGAATGAGTGTGCATGTAATTTGAAATTTAGGTAATGCAGGAAGGGAGGTGTTTGAAAAATTTCAACTTAATTCTTGAGGTTATCTCTTAAAACACTGAGCCTACTTTAGTGTGTTATCTATGGGAAATAGGAAAGACATAAAACATAGTCTTAATTTTTAGTAAATGTATATTTGAGTGTAAACTGTGTTTTGGATTGGTGAGTGACTATGGGTGGGTATGATAGTCTAGAAATCCTCTTTTTAAAGTGAATGATAAAGTCATCTTAATTTCTAGACTGAGAACTACCCATATCCAAACAGCAAGCAATATAGGAGACAGAAAATATATCCTTTCTTCTCAGTAAAACAAAACTTTCCTGAATTTGGAGACAAATCTGAAACTCAGTTTGCCTTCTGCTAGATCAGATGATAAAAATTCCTTCTCTTTTACCACAGTATAGTATTTCATTGTGTTGATGTACCACAGTTTTTTAATCCACTCATCTACAGATGGGAGGATAAGGACACATGTAATACCTTAATCAATAAAGAAAAGAAAAAAAGAATTGTTCTGCCCCAAATGTCAGTAGCATCTTATAGAGAAACACTATTCTAGAAGGTAATAGTTTTCTCTATTTTGAATTAATATTAGACATCTGGTAAATTATTGGTCATTTTGTTATCTCCTGAATAACACATAGTTTCTGGCCCTAAAGGAGTTCTTTAGTAGGAATTGTAGACATCTCTAATTTTTAAATTAGTACGTGTAACAAGTTCTTAAATGATGTGTGAAAAGTATAGCAATATTTTTATTTTATTTGAAAATTTATTGGTTTGAGAGAGAAGATAAAGAGGGTGGGAGAGAGACGGGAACATTAATGTGACAGTGAAACTCATGGGCTGCCTCCTACATGCCCCTCAATTGGGAATCCAAAAGGCAACCATTGGTACACAGGATGATGCCCAGCCAACAGGGCCACACCAGCAAGGGCTTTGGTTGATTCTTATATTCCTGACCAGGGATCAACCTACGACCTTGGAGTGTTGGGACAGTGCTCTAACCAATTGAACTATTTAGCCAGGGCTTGAAAAGTATAAAAATATTTTTGAAACATCTCTTAAGGCATAGTGAGAGATTTCTTGGAGGCCATATAGCTTTGATATTTGCATTGTTTTGGGAATTGTGAGGGAATACTGCCCATCATGAGGCTCAGACAAGAGATATGTATACTATATACAGGTAGCAGTTGGAGAGGTGGTATATACCATATGAAGCTTAGTCTTTAGAGTGAGAAGGATTATCTGTTAATATGCAGATTTTTGGACTACTGTTCCAGAGGGTCTGACTTGACAAGGATACAGTCTGATATTTTCTTTTTATTTGATTGCATTTGCAAAAAAAAAAAAAAGAAATCCAAATTGACTTTTAATAATCCATTAAGGGTTATGATCTGCAGTTCTGAAAACATTGATTTAGACTTTAAAGCAGTGGTTCTCACTTTATTTTTATTTTTATTTTTTAAATATATTTTATTGATTTTCTGCAGAGAGGAAAAGAGAGGGATAGAGAGTTAGAAACATCAATGAGAGAGAATCATCGATCAGCTGCCTTTTGCACAACCCCTACTGGGGATGTGCCCGCAACCCAGTTATATGTCCTTGACTGGAATCGAACCCGGGACCTTTCAGTCTGCAGGCCGACGCTCTATCCACTGAGCCAAACTGGTCTCGGCTGGTTCTCACTTTAACACACATCAGAATAACCTGGACAGGTTATTAAAAAAGATTTGTGGCTTCACCCCCAGATTTACTGATTCAGTAGGTCAGGGCTGGCGCCTGAGAATTAGTATGTCTAACAAGTCCTTAAGGGCTGTTGGCCCCAGGATTGCATTTTGGGGACCACTGATTTACAGAAGACCGGCTGGAAGGAAAAATTTCCACTAGAATGTACTCTGAAGTCAAGGATTTTTGTTAGACTTGTTCACTGTTTGTTCTCAATGCCACTAACAGTGTCTAGCATAATTATATTTAGGATGTAGGACTTGATGTGGAAGCTCAGTGAGCTCAGTAATTACTTTGCAGTAGTACTGATGGGTAGTAAAAGACTTGAACCAGGGCCATAGCAAGGATAGATTGGAACAATGCTTTGGAAAGGAAATTTGATAATTATGGGGATTTGGAGTGGATTCTGACTCATAGGCCATTGACTTGGAAGGTTAGGTGAGTGGTGGTACCCAGCAATTAGCAACACATAATATGTATTCACTTAGAATTTGTCATTACCATGGATGCTTCATGAGATGGCGTCATATTGCAGTGCATAGACCAATTGGAGGTACTAAATTTGAAGCATTAAATTTAAAAGTTATGGTTTAAATTTAATGCTTTGTACAGTTTTTTCACCTTGACTTTTAGCTCACAAAAGCTGTTTTTGTTTGTTTTTTTCCTTAACCAAGGACATGCTTAGGGAGAGGAAGGCAGAGAGAGAAACATTGATTGATTGTATTCTTTATGCGCCCCAACCAGGGATCAAACCTGCAACCCAGGCTTTTACCCTCACAGAGAATTGAACCAGCAACCTTGTGGTGCATCAGTTGACCAGCTTAGCCACTCTGGCTGGACAGAAACTACTTTTCATGGAATGCATTAAGTGCCTATTTTGCTACTGTGTGCTATGTTAGGTGGCCACTTTACAGAGATGAATCAGACACAACATGGGCTCCCAAAAAGTAGTCCTTCGTAATTTGGGAAGAACCTTAACTGTTTTTAGTCTGGGATTTACAGAGACTTAGATTTATTAGCTGGAAGTGAGTTTAGAAGTATAATTCAACCTGTTCTCTTTTAGACAAGGAAAATGCTCAAGAAAGAAAAATTATTTGTCAAAGTCAATTAGTGGCCAAACCCAAACTATCTGGTATAATGCTCTAATATTATCATAATTATAATTTTAATAATTAACATTTACTGAGCACTGACTATGCTAGACTGTGAGAAATGTTTTACATAGATATCTTATTTAGACCTCACAACAACCCATAAGATATAGTCTCTTTAACAACAGTCTTCAGGCAAGGCTGAATACTGTTAGGGGGATTGTTGCCCTGGGAAATTGACCTTTAGTTTACTTTTTTATTAAGTCATTAGAGATGTGCTGGAATTGCTAGTAGCATGTAGATACAAATCTAGAACAGGTGGAGGTGTCAGGAGATTATAAAAATCCCTGTAAATATGGCAAAGGGAGCTTCTTGAAGAATCTGATAGAATCCTCTCAGATGATTTAGGCAATATCCCAAGATTAGAGTCTGGGGGAGAAAACAAAGTGTCTGTGTGTATGTGTATATACACAAAATGACTGAGTTAAATTTCATTATATGTTTAAGGGACAATGTGACTTTTATTCATTAATTTTTTAAATTGATTTGAGAGAGAGAGAGAGAGAGAGAGAGAAAACCAACCCACATTGATTTGTTGTTTCACTTTTTTATGCATTCATTGGTTGATTTTTATATGTTGCCCTGACCAAAGTTCTAACCCACAACCTTGACATATCAGGATGATGCTCTAACCAACCCAGCTACCTGGCCAGGTCTAGTTTATAACTTCCTTTGCCAATTTCTTATTATAAGGGTTGAGGCTCTCTAGATTAAACACTACCTGATAGAGAAGAAATATGTTCGGGAGAAGGATGGAATTGTTGTAAATATTTACTTTTTCTTTATTTGCTCACTTCTAATTTTTTTACTTGGTTACAGAAATTCTCTTAGGGAGTGATGAGAAAATAGAAGTGGCTAAGCAGAAAAAGATTGTCAATTCTTGTCATAATGGAAGAGGAGAGGGGAACTTGAAGAAGTGTGGTGGGTTGAGAATACCGCTGAAAGCATTAGGCATTTATTTTTTCTCTCTCATTATGTAGAATTAGACGGGAAGTTGGGCTTCTCTAACTTGAGGATTGCCTCAGTAATGTTCCTCATTGTTCAGATCAGATAGGATGGATTTATGTTTTGTATGCTATTTAAGAGTTAGAAAACATTGTATTAAGGAAAGATTTCCATGGAAATAGGTAACAGTATATTTAGTATAGAAAAGGATTTTCTTTGATTACTAAAAATTTGCTTATATGAAAATATGCCTAATAACTAATGAATTACCATAGAAAGTTTGTTGAAATATAAAAAGAAACAATTCTTTAATACTATAAAATAGCAAAAATGAGGTTAGATACTTAAAAAATTAGTTTTTATTGATGCATACACTTGGGTAAGAGAGATTGGTTGATTTTTGTAGTTGTATCAGTTTTGAAAATGGAAGGATTTTATAAATGGACTAATAAACAAAATACGGTATATCCATATGTCTGTTGTTATCTTCCCTGACTTTTACTTAGAAATTTTTGATGTTCTTTGTCTTAGCTATGGGAGAATAAACTAATGCAGTCTAGGGCAGTAGATGGATTTCATTCAGAAGAGCAGCAGCTTTTATTGCAAGTTCAACAGCAGCATCAAACCCAGCAACAGCAGCATCACCATCACCACCACCACCAGCAAGCTCAACCACAGCCTACAGTACCTCAGCAAGCGCAGACTCAACAGGTCCTTATTCCTGCATCACAGCAAGGTGAGAAGGCTAGATATGTTTTCCTACTTACAACTTGGAGATGAAATTTGTCATTTTCAAAGAAGAGAAATACTCTGTGTTTCTCATTTCTATTGGTTGAGTAGGGTATATGTATTTGTATTAACATAAATTTATATAAAATGTGGATCCTGTTTGTATAATAATGATAAGTAATTCATGAATTGAAAGCCTAACATCTACACTAATAAAAGAGAAAGATGCAAATTGACCATACCACTGCAAAGCCCACCAGCCAATCAGGAATGGGTATGCAAATTAACCAAATAAAGTTGGCAGGTTAATTTGCATGTGCAAGTGTGGAGTCTTTGCTTCAGCCTGAGTGAAGACTGACAACTGAAGACTGAAGAGGCTTGGCTTCTGCTGGCAGCCAGGGGAAGGAAGGCCCATTCTTGCACGATTCTTTGTGCAATGGGCCTTTGGTATTCAGATAAGTCTGTTGATACTTTCTTCTGAAAAGGCTACATAATGGTGAATTTCCTAAAATAAGACCTATAAAGGTTTATTTACTGTTTCATTGTTTTATGTAGTTAAAATCTTGGTCTGCTTTCTTTATGAAACTGACTTTTTCCTTCAAAGACATTTGAGTTTAAATTTTGTAAATAAAAGTAAATATTAGAAGGACTTAATTAAACAGTGGAGGATTTTTAAAACTATACTTTGGCAATATTAAATTTCAATTTCTTAGTAAGTTATGAAAGTCTAAATAGAATTAGATTTCTTTTCAGTGAAGAGTGGATATATTATATAACATTTTAATGTAAAAAAAAAAAAAAGTATTTACAGATTGTGTCCATACTGCTTTGTACTTCATACCTCATAGTACAAAGCAGTATGGACACAATCTGTAAATGCTTATTTTTTTTTACATTAAAATGTTATATATCCACTCTTCACTGAAAAGAAATTCTATATTATATATTTTGTTTCATTGAAGGCTTTTGTTTCATTGAAGCAAGTCATTTTATAGATTTTGTTTCATTGAAGCCTTACAAAGGCTTTGTGAAATAGCTCTTACAACATTTCAAAGCTGAGGAATATCTGACTCTTGAAAAAAGCTAAGAAACTCAATTGGTACATATAATAAGTACTAGAGGCCCAGTGCATGAAATTTGTGTATGAGGGTGGAGGGGTTCCTCAGCCCAGTCTGCACCCTCTCCAATATGGGACATCTCTCTCACAATCCAGTACTACTGGCTTCCAACGGCTTGCCTGCCTGATTGCCCCTAACTGCTTCTGCCTGCCAGCCTGATCACCCCCTATCCACTCCCCTGTCAACCTGATCAATGCCTCTGCCTAACTGCTCCTCAGCTGGCCCGATTGCCCCTAACTGCTCTCCCCTGCCAGCCCAATTGCCTCTAACTGCCCTCCCCTGCTGGCCTGGTTTCCCCCAACTGTCCTCCCCTGCTGGCTTGGTCCCCCTAACTGCCCTCCTTTGTAGGGATGGTACCCCCCCAACTGCCCTTTCCTGCAGGCCTGGTCACCCTCCTTTGCTGGCCCAGTCACCCCTAACTGCCTTCACCTGCAGGCATGATCACCCCCAACTGCCCTCCCTTTCAGGCCTGGTCCCTCCCAATTGTTCTCACTTGCTGGTTTGGTTGCCCACAACTGCCCTCTTCTGCTGGCCGTCTTGTGGCAACCATCTTTGACCACATGGGGGCGGCCATCTTGTATGTTGGAGTGATGTTCAATTTGCATATTACCTCTTTATTATATAGGATTTTTATCATGGCAAATTGTAGAGTAGTTCTCCCTTATAAGCAGTGTTGCTTTTTGTAGTTTCAGTTACCTGTGGTCAACTGTGGTTTGAAAACATTAAATGGAAAATTTCAGAAATAAATAATTCACAAGTTTTAAATTGTGTGCCACTCTGAGTAGCATGATGAAATCTTGAGCTGTTCTGCTTCGTACTGTCTGGGATGTGAATCATTCCTTTGTCCAGTGATCCATGCTGTATAGGCTGCTTACGTAGTGGCTCTCTCAGTTATCAGATCAGATCCCCCTCAGATGAGGGCGGACTGCTGTTTTCAGTTATAAAATCACCTGGGCATTCTGTTATTGAAGAGGGGAATGAAGGTAAATGAAAATATTATTTTAAGGTAACTGTTTAGTTAGCTATTTTCTTTTCTTTCTTTTTTTAAAAAAATATATTTTATTGATTTTCTACAGAGAGGAAGGGAGAGAGATAGAGAGCTAGAAACGTCGATGAGAAACACTGACCAGCTGCCTCCTGCACACCCCCCAATGGGGATGTGCCCGCAATCCAGGTACATGCCCTTGACCGGAATCGAACTCGGAACCTTTCAGTCCGCAGACCGACGCTCTACCACTGAGCCAAACTGGTTTCGGCTAATTAGCTATTTTCTTGGTTTGAGAATATATAGATGGTGATGCACAGCAGAAATATCTGGGTTATTTTACAGATTATATTAAATAAGACTTGTAATATTTGCTTTTATTCTATAACATGCTTCAAATAATTTTATCCTTTCAATCTGTTTTGATGACTGTTCCTCCTATTGCCTTCAGCCCTGGCACTAGGATTTTAGGTCATCATAAATTAAAAGTTGATTTTCTTCACTCAGAGAATATTAAGATGATGGGATTATCTGTTATTCTCTGAAATTTGCGGAATCAAACACTTAATTCCTTTTGCACTTAAATAATGTTGCCATTTATGACATTCTGAGATATCAGACGGTTGAGTGCAATTGAATGAAGAAAATATGAAAAGCATTAAAACAGTTTTCAGCATTGTTTAGCATTCTTACGATTATGAAATAGCCTCCTAGTTCCTTGTTCACATGTATGCTTGTGTTTTTAATAGCTGCAGCGCCACAAGTTATTGTTCCTGATTCTAAGCTGATACAGCATATGAATGCATCAAACATGGTAAGATTCAGAACAGCACTATGTTTGGCTCAACTTATTCTAACTGAAATTGTGATTATGCCTAGGTTGATTGTGTATTAGCAAAGTTTATTCAAGGCTTGAGCAAAATGGCTGTTTTATTTGGTTTTCTAAATATTGGATTTAGAAGTAAACCTAAAGTTTAGCTTGATACTTGGACCTTGAGGATCATAAAATCACAAGAAGGGAATATCAAAAGAGTGATGCTTTGTGGGAGCTATTTCAGTCCCTGCTATTTTTGGAAAAGAGGTTTAGTGGACCTGCCAAACATGCCAATTATAGTTCATTTGCAAAAATTCCATTGTTAAGATCCATTAACTGCAAGATGTCAGGAATTTTACGAATTAAAAACTTAAAAATGTTTAGGTACTTCAAAATGCTGTTTTTAAGATCAAGCATTTAAAAAATGTTGTTAAGATTTAACGGTAGCATAGCCTAATAAGTTTTATTATAATATATAAACTACTACTTTAAAATGCATTTTAACCAGTTGCAGTTATTATACATTAGACTTTAGATACTTCTAACGGATATCCACAGAACTTGGAAGGTAGTCAAGTATTCAAATTTTACTTAGGACAGATAGTATTTTCTATCAAAAGTAATATAGGATAGTAGTAAAATTGAAAGACCTCCCCCCCTTTAGATCCTTGAAAAGTATTTATATTCTTAAAGATTAAAAAAATAAAACAGTAGTTGTTCTAGCACTTTCTCATAGCTTTTTTGTTTTATTTAAAATATATAGATTGTCAGTGGTATCTCAGCTCTGACATTTTATTCTTCAACTTAGCCAAATCTTTTATTTAAAGATAAGAATCATTGTTTTTTTAAAAATCTTTTAACTTAGTGCTAGCAATGATCTATTTTTTCAGATCCAGTTTTTTGTTTTATTTTTTTTTAAGAAAAAGCAATATTTGAAAACATCATTTAGATTTGGTAAATAATGAATAGTGACCCTCGAAGCTCAGTTGTGATTTATAGGCTAGATAGGAAGCAGGGTTTACCTACTAGACAAATGACTTCTTTATGTATACCAGCCTTAGAAATTCATAACTTGGCAGAATTGCAAATTGTGCATGGAAATAGAAATTGTAATTTTAAAGTTCTTAAAAAATCAGGAATTCCTATTTGTATTTTCAGTTTTAAGTTGTTGGCATCAGTTCTTCTGTATGAAAATCACAAAACCCCATGCCTAGTATTTCTCACGGTAATTTTTATTATTCGAAAAATATTTATTTTGAATTCAAGTCCCCAAGTTAACCTTCACCTTTAAAAATAAAAGTCTCACTGTAGGATTCATATTGCAGGTGGTACTATTGGGACTGTTTCCTAGAGAATAATTTATGTCTTTTTATTTTTATTTTTATTTTTTTAATATATTTTATTGATTTTTTACACAGAGGAAGGGATAGGGATAGAGAGTTAGAAACATCAATGAGAGAGAAACATTGATCAACCGCCTCCTGCACATCTCCTATTGGGGATGTGCCCACAACCAAGGTACATGCCCTTGACTGGAATCAAACCTGGGACCCTTGAGTCCACAGACCAACGCTCTATCCACTAAGCCAAACTTGTTAGGGCAATTTATGTCATTTTAGAACAAATTTGGTAAAATCACTTGTAGTAGTAAGCTCATCTAATTTTGAAGGTTTTGTTTTATTACTTCTCGCTTGAGGATATTTTTCCATCAATTTTTAGAGAGAGTAGAAGAGAAAGGGAAAGACAGAGAGAAACACTGATGTGAGAGAAGCACATCGATTGGTTGCCTCCAGCATGAGCCCTGTCCAGGCCCAGGCCTGGGATGAGCCTGCAACCAATGTATGTGCCTTGACCAGATTCAAATCCGGGATCCTTTAGTCTACAGGCCAATGCCAGCTAGGGTTAATTTTGAAGATTTTTAAATTTTGTGGTAGAGAATGTGTTTAAAGAGACCTGGGCAAAGTCAGTGTCCTCTCTTACTGATTTGTTACACCTCCTTGATTCTGAAGAGCTTGCCTATTGTTATATTAAGACTTCGATAAAATGTATTAGCATTTATAGCATTATTTATATTGTGTAATTCAGCATTTTACTTGATGTTTTCAGTGTTTGCTCCATATATTTGGCATGTTCTGAAGCATAATCAATATAAACTTTTTACAGATAAAAGTTTTTGAGGGTTTTTTTTTTTTTTTTTTTTTTTAATATATTTTATTGCTTTTTCACAGAGAGGAGGAGAGAGGGATAGAGAGTTAGAAACATCGATGAGAGAGAATCATCGATTAGCTGCCTCTTGCACACCCCCTACTGGGGATGTGCCCGCAACCACAGTACATGCCCTTGACTGGAATCGAACCTGGGACCTTTCAGTCTGCAGGCCGACACTCTACCGCTGAGCCAAACCGGTCCCGGCAGTTTTTGAGTTTTTATTTTCATTATTATTTCTGATTTAGAGATATCCACTAAAACAGTTCTGATTTTTTAAAGTATATTTTTTATTATTGATTTTAGGGAGGAAGGGAAAGAAAGAGAAACAGCAACGATGAGAGAGAATCATTGGTTGGCTGCCTCCTGCATGCCCCACATTGGGGATCTAGCCCACAACCTGGGCATGTTCCCTGACTGGGAATCAAATCATGACCAATGAGCCATGCTGGCCATGCCCAGTTTTGATTTTTTAAATGGCTGTATGCTTTGGAAATAAACATAAATAAAAAACATGTAATTTTGTAAATATATGGGATAGTGGTATTAGAGCACTATTTCAGGGAACTTAGAAAACAGTACTTTATATCAAACCACTTTTGCAAGTTATTTTTAATGAAATGATTGCTGTAATGCATTATTTATGGTAGGGCTACTTCATAAAATACAAAAAGAAATTTTCAGTAGATATTGATAAAAGATGGTTTTTATATGGTATACCACTCAACAGATATTTATTAATATCAACTTGAATGTACAGAGGTGTGTGCAAGTGGCAATACAGTCATGTGCTGCATAGAAACTATTGTCAGTTTGCCTGTGAAAGGAGATTTATTAATCTTATATGAATTATAGGCAATTAATATTTCTTAATAAGTGGTTATTAATACATTCCTCAAATGTAAATTACTTTTCATTTGCCTATACAGGCTAGATTTATTTGAAATTGGGTAATTGAATATCCTGAATTTGATAAATAGAGCTTGGAGGGCTACAGCTGGATTCTAGGAACTAGTGGGAATTTCAGACCTAAGATGTCAAAATTACTATGCTTATCAAGTGGTAACAAAAAGCATGTTTTCTACACAGATAATTTAATAAAAAAATAAAATTTAAAAAAGCATATTTTCTTGGAGAGCTATAACTAGAGCCTCGACTAGATAGTAGTAGTATCATTAACTTACTTGAGATTAATTTTCCAAGTTTTGTTGACTTCTACATTAGCATCTCCTAGCCACAGTTCTATTTATTTCTTGAAGCTTATTCAAATAGAGGTGTTTCTAAAAAAATGTGTAGATTAGATTGAGTTATATGAAGGCTTGGTATCTTAAAAAAATTGAAGGGGGAGGGGAAAATCTACCTATATATATTATAGTGAGATACATGGAAATACTTTGAGCACAGAACTGAAAAGTAGACTGTGTGATTCTTTTGGAGGAAGGGGAGAAGTCTCTAGGAGCAGTAACTCAAGAATTTCTCCTGAATTTGAAGAAGTTCAGAGTATACTTCCATATATAATTTTTAATCCTCATCCAAGGAAATGTTTTTATTGAGTTATTATTATTATTTTTTTTAAGAGAGGAAGGGAGAAAGAGAAACATTGATGTGTGAGACACATAAATTGAGAGAGAGAGAGAAACATTGATGTGAGAGACATATAGGTTGGTTGCCTCCCACACATGCCCCAGCCAAGTCGGGCATCAAACCTGCACTTGACCAGAAAAATCAGACCTTTAACTCCTTGATGTGCAGGCTGATGCTGTAACCACTGTGCATAGCAGCCAAGGCTCTAGTATGTTAATTTGCAATAAGGTTTTGGGAATATGGAACCAGAGTAGGAAAGGAAATACTAGAATGGATATTTGATATGTTATACAGCATTATTAGTATGGGTGAGATTTATTAAGAACACACTGTCTAGGGAAAAACAAATTAATAATATTAATCTACTCAATTTAAGCTTCAAATAATTAGGTAAGGCATTTAGGCTAGGTGGTCATTATTGTACCATTGTTAGAATTTTTCATTTTAGTAAATATTAAACAGCAAACTTCAAATACTGTTAAAATATGCCAGAAATAAGCTGAGTTCCTGATTTTGATTTTTTTTTTTTTTCCTTTATTTTTTCAGAGTGCTGCTGCTACAGCTGCCACCTTAGCACTCCCTGCAGGTGTGACTCCTGTTCAACAGATATTAACAAATTCAGGTAATTAGAAATAGTGGAACCATTATATATGTATAACAGAAAATCTTAATTTCTTTTACTATTTGGCTTAGATTTTTAAAATAAGATGATCCAAGAGTGATAGCATATATACTGTAATTATTGCTGAGAGTACAGTATAGAAGATGAGAACTGTACTGCGCTTTTGAGAATTCTGATTAAATGAAATATGATTGTATAGAAATTACTTACTTAGTTTTTTGATAAACTAATTTAACCTACCAAATAAGTTTAATTTGAGTCATTAGAATGAATTTGTAATATCAAACTAAACACTTCATTCTTATCGTATCTTAAGAGCAAGCTTTATTCCATTCTATTTTACATAGTATCTCTGTGTAGACTGACAAAATTTACTGGGATTTTTGGAATATTAATGTTTGAAGAACTTACATGGACTTTAAGTATTTTCTCTTTAAACTTAATTAAGTGATTTCTCATTATTTTGTTAATTTCTAAATTTGTAAAAAAAACAAACTAGGGGCTTATCTTGCTACATCTCTATTTATAAAAGCCTAAGTGACCGATATGAACAACTGATTGGTTGATCTATAGCTATGATGTGCACTGACCACCAGGGGGCAGACGCTCAATGCAGAAACTGCCCCCTGGTGCTCAGTGTGCTCCCACAGCCAACCTTCCACAGCTGATCAACCTCCTGCAACCCTCCCTGATTGCCCCAATCCTTGGGTAGGCCGAGGGACCTCGCACATGCACCAATTTGTGCACTGGGCCTCTAGTATTTTAATAAAATATATTTGTTCACTTTTTAATTAATTCAAGATTCTGAGTCATTTAAACCATCATATAAGAAAGATTCAGTTTTGTATATATTGTCAGTCATGCTATTAATGTTTTGTGACAATGATAATTGGTTCAGCAAACTTATTACTTTTATTACTTTTAAACATTTTTGAAGCTAAATAATGTGATTTGGTTCAAAATATTATCTAATATACTTTTATTTTTTTAAAGCTTTAAAAATGAACAGCCTTTAAATGTCTGATCTGACATATTACTCTCATGATTCCTAACATGTTAGCAAAGATAATGTAAGCTTTTAATCAACTCTCATAATCTGCTGTTAGAATTTTGTTGGAAGACAGCTTTGTAAGAGTGATAAATAAGGAAAATAAAAACATTTTAAGTAATGTATTTGAACATGGATGGAAGTCAGAGGAGTTAAGGATTATAGTTTACTGTGTTTGAATGACAGCCTTTAAAACTTAGTCTTTTGACTTGATAATTTCTAGAGCCTTTGGTGGTTAGACATTCACTATGAATTCATTTATTTGAAATGATAACTTGAAATATATACTTTTTGCTTTAGGCCAGCTTCTTCAAGTGGTCAGAGCAGCCAACGGTGCTCAGTATATCTTTCAGCCTCAGCAGTCTGTGGTTCTACAACAACAGGTTATACCACAAATGCAGCCTGGTGGAGTACAGGCTCCTGTTATACAACAGGTAAAAGAATGATCAGCATGGGTTCTTTTTTCTTCTGAATGAATGAATTAGAAAACGTCTACACTCATCAGCATAATTTATAAGATCTTTTTTTTCATTTTTTTTTTTTTAACTCTTCAGGTTTATTTTTTGTCATACTTAACAGTTGATATCTGCTTCAGCTGCTGTTTAGATCAAAGTTAACAAATCATCTATTTATATGCTGGTATTACTGTGAGGACAAAAATGAAAGAGAAGTGGTTATTTTCTTGAGGAATTTAGATACTTTAAAAAAGAAGCAGATGACAAAGACACAATCCTCCTATATAATAAAAGTGTAATATGCAAATTGTTCCCTCAACTGGGAGTGCAACCAGAGTTCAACCAGGGGTGGGGTCAGCCTGCCAACTGCCCACGGCCCCCCCCCCCACCCCGGTTGTCCTGCCCAATTGGCCATGATTGGGATGGGCCGGCCAGACCCCATCTGTGTAGGAATTTGTGCATCAGGCCTCTAGTGTCAATATCTATACTAATAAAAGAGAAACATGCAATTTAACCATCACTGCTACACCCACCAGCCAATCAGAGAGAGGATGCAAATTAACCCACCAAGATGGCGATGCCCATAGCGGCCAGGTGGCGCTGGGGTTGCTGGGGTCCTGATCAGAGACACAAAACTGAAGGGAGGCTGGCATCCAGCAGCCCCAAGCCCCTCCACTACAGTGCTTGGGGAGTTGGGAAGGCAGCAGAGACACAAACTCAAAAGAAACATGTAGAAAGGGAGATAAACTTTTATCTCCCTTTCCATAAGATGAGAAAACTGCCCCTGGTTTATTTAGTGATGTGGTCCACACCTTTGTACAAGCACAGGGTATGTTATAACAACTCCCAGAAAGTTCTGGTCAGAATACCATCTCCAGGGAATAACGCTACTGTGGCAAATCATCTAAAAGAGGAAACAAAGCTTTTGTTGGGTTTATTCTGAAGGTCAGAGAACATGCCACCCCAGCATATGCTGTGTTATATTGATGATCTTGAGCTGCAGATGCTTGAAAAACAGCAAATGCATGCAGAGGCTTTCACTTATGTCTCCTTATCTGCCTGAAATTGGACCCCCCAAAAGGAGCTTAAATGTCATAGGTCCCCTTGATGGGAGAAGTGTCGTCAGGCAGAGAAGACTGACTCCTGTCACAGGACAGGAGAGTAGAAGTTGACATTACTTCCAAACTTACTATTTCCCCCACCCCAATTCATCTTTCCTAAAAATCATTTACTCTCCCCTAAGAGGCCTACATCTTCAGTTCCCTTTCCCTAAGAAGAAGGCATTTAAATCTGCATTCTAAGCCACCTTGGGGAGTTACTCATTTTCCCCCAGGATCTCCCACATATACATGAGGTACACATGTTAATGAACTTTTGTTTTTCTCTTGGTGATCTGTCTTTCATTAAAGAGCCTCCACTAAGAATTCAGAAAGGTAGAGGAAAACTACTTTTTCTCCTCCATAAGTCTGCCTCGGGAAATCAAGTTCCCAGCTGAACAATGAGGTTTGCTCAAGTACCAAGCAGTCTTGGCTGACGGGAGGGAAGCTTCTAGGGAGAAATCAATGATATTGGCATCAAAGTGGGGCAGAGGGCACATGTACAGTTGCTGGTGGGAGTTTAAAGTGGTTCAACATTTTTTGGAGGATGATTTGGCAAATTGGATAGAAATATTCAGGGTACATCTAAGAGTCTTCTATTAGGAATCGCATCTGCTGAGATACAGCACAAACGCATAAGCCCTGGTCAGAACCCAGGATGCTACTGCAGGCTCCCCTTCCACATAGGAAAACCTGGGAACAACCTGCATTTTTAGGACAAGGTGGCATCTATACTAATAAAGGGTAATATGCTAATTAGACTGAACAGCTTCTGGATGACCTTCCAGATGTCCTTCTGGATGTCCTTCCTGACAAAGCCATGTTGGCAGGGCAAAGGCAGAGGTTAGAGGCAATCAGGCAGGCAGGGGAGAGCAATTAGGGGGATCAGGCCAGCAGGGGAGAGTGGTTAGGGCAAACAGGCTGTATGGAGAGAGCAGTTATGGGGATCAGGCTGGTAGGCAGGTGAGCGGTTAGGAGATAGAGGTTTTGAGGGATCCCAGGTTGGAAAGAGTGCATGCCGAGCTGAGGGGACCCCTTTCCCATGCACAAAGTTCATGCACCAGGCCTCTAGTAATAGTCTGATAATAGAGGTAAGAGCAGAGCATTAATTCAGCCTAATTATAGCTTTCCAAATTTTGTCCAGCTATTACTTTTGGGTCCCATTTTATGTTATTCTATTTAGAATGCTGCATTTAGCCTTCCATCTTGCAATACCCTCTGCTTCCACCAAACAAACAGAAAAGCCTGGCTAATCTCCCAAAGCACAAATAGACACTTAAGTATTACCTACTAAGAAGGCTTCCCTGACCATGCCTTGATCTCCAAGCAGAATTTAATCATCTGTCTGGTGTTCTCATAACATCATCTCAGCCTTCTGTTACATCTATCTTTTTAAGTTATTTCTTTGTCTATTGCACCACTAATCTATAAACTTCTTAAGGGAAATACTTTCTCATTATTTTTGCATTCCTTGAACCTAATGGCAAATAGTTGCCAGTTTTTTTTTTTTTTTAATTACTGGACATTATTTGCTTATTATTAACTCTAGTTATAAAACCGTTCATTGTAACATACAATAAATAATTGTTAATATGTTCTTTTTAAAAAATATTTTTATTTATTTCAGAGAAGAAGGGAGAGAGAGAGAGAGATAGGGGGAGAAAGAGAGATAAATTGATGATGAGAGAGAAATCATTGACTGGCTGCCTCCTGCACACACCACACTGGGGACTGAGCCCGGGCATGTGTCCTAGGCCAGAATCAAATCTGGGACCCTTTAGTCTGCAGGCTGACACTCTGTCTACTGAGCAAAATGGATTAGGGCTATTAATATGTTCTTTTAAAATTGTGGTTTACTTTAGAATCTTAGAATGCAGAAGTTGGAAGGAACTTTAGACATCATCTGATCTGGTACTTTTCAGCTGTGGATACATGATTAGGAACTTTAAGATGAAAAGATTTTATCTCTATCCTATCTTAATAAAGAGGGAGCATGCAAATTGACCATCACACCATCACAAACATAGCGGCACCCATAGCCACAAGATGGGGGTGGCAGGTGTGTGGCATGGCCAGACCCACCTCTAAGCAGGTCTGGCCATGCTACTTGCCTGCTGCCGGAGTACCCCAGTCCTTTCAGCCCTGCTAGAGGGGCAGCAGGCACGTGGTGTAGCCAAACCCGCTCTCAGGCTGGTCTGGACTCTCCGCGCACCTGCTGCCAGTGTCCCCAAGTCCTTTCACAGAAAATGGGCTGCCTCAAAGTTGGTTAAGCTTCTTAGGACAAAAAGCATTCAAAATCTTTGAAGAGAATTCCAACATTTATAAAAGTTTGGACTAGACAAGTCAAGGTTATTTCCACTACAGCCTTTTATGATTTTGTGATATTAATGTTCTGAATTCACATAGTATCAGCTGTATTATATGTAAGCAGATATTATTTAAAGGAATGGCCATTATTATTAAAACAACTTATAAAACCACACTGTTTGTATATGTCAAGGACATTCTGTGTGATTTTCCTAATGGCTGGAGTTAATGCCCCTAAACCAGCAGTTGGACTTCCCTGAGGGGTCCCAGATTGGAGAGGGTGCAGGCCAGGCTTAGGGATGTCCCCCCCCCAATGCATGAATTTTATGCACTGAGCCTCTAGTTTTATATAATAAAACCCTAATATGCAAAGTGACCAAACAGAACAACAAACCATTACTATGATGCTCACCTACCACCAGGGGGCGTGGGCAGATGCTTAATGCAGGAGCTGTCTGTCCCCTGGTAGTCAGTGCGCCCCTGAGGGGGAGTGCCGCTTAGCAGAGTGCTGCTCAGTCAGAAGCTGGGGCTCACGGCTGGCAAGCGCAGTGGCCGTGGTGGGAGCCTCTTCCACTTCGCAGCAGCGCTAAGGGCCCCTCGGAGAATGTCTGCTTGCTGGCTTTGGCCCGCTCCCCCAGACATCCCGTGCATCAGCCCTCTAGTTAAATCAGAATATTTGGCATGGAGCCTACGTATCAGTATTTTTAATCTGCCAGGTGTTTATAATTTGTAGCCAGAGTTACACTAATCCTAGTCTAACAATAAGGTAACTAAAGCCAAGAGAAGTTAAACAGTTTGCCTCTGCTAGATCTTACGTCTGTGATCTTATATAAAACTTGAACTCAGAAGTTAAGATTTTCAGTGCAGGGTTCTTCATAGAGGCAGTGTAGCATCATAAGAAAAAAGAGTAGAAGCCTAGGTTCACCTTTTGCCTTTTGGTGACTACAAGCTTAGAAAGTTACTAAACATCTCCTTACACCAAGAAAATAAAACTACTAACTTGTGTTACTCTTGGCCTGGAATCTGGCATCCTGTCTCCTATCCTGTCTAATAAAGAGGAAATAAATGCTTGACAAGTGAAGTAGTTATCTGCAGAAAATCTTTTTTCCTTAGAAATTTGAGTTGTAAAATGGAAAATTAGTGGATCAATACACTAAACATTTTTTTGTGCTTTCTAGTTTTAACTATGTGTTTCTTCAGCATTTATATACCAAGTAATGAAACTGAGTTTCTTGATTCTTTTAATTAGTTTCTAACATTTGGTTTTCTTTTCCTTAGGTTTTGGCCCCTCTTCCTGGAGGGATTTCACCACAGACAGGTGTCATCATCCAGCCTCAGCAAATCTTATTTACAGGAAATAAGACTCAAGTTATACCTACAACAGTGGCGGCTCCTACACCAGCACAAGCACAGATAACTGCAGCTGGCCAACAGCAACCACAGGCCCAGCCTGCTCAACAACAGGCTCCATTGGTATTACAAGTTGATGGAACTGGGGATACATCATCTGAAGAAGATGAAGATGAAGAAGAGGACTATGATGACGATGAGGAGGAAGACAAAGAGAAAGATGGAGCTGAAGATGGGCAGGTAGAAGAGGTAAGTTTCTAATAAAAAAAACTTGAAGTTAGAAGCTATGTTACCATTCCTTCTTTTACGTGATGCCAAACTTAAATTATATTCTATTTTTTCAGAGGCTGTTAGGCTGCCATACAACATAGGATTTTAAATATATAGTTAAATTGTTCTAACTTAAGGTTTTATATTGTTCTTGTTGCATTTATCTTTATAAAATACTAGAGGCCCAGTGCACGAAAATTTGTGCACTGTGGGGGGTGTCCCTTAGCCCAGCCTGCCTCCTCTCACAGTCCGAGAGCCCTCAGGGGATGTTCTACTGACAGCTTAGGCAGGAGGCGACTGGTCTGATCAGGGAAAGACACCACCGCCATCACTCTGCTGCAGTTGCCATTGCTGGCTGGAGCAGCTGCAAGGCCTGAGTCCTGGGCCTCGAAGCTTCTGGGGCTCACGGCTGTCAGTCTTGAGCCCATGGCTCCTGTGAGCCCTGGACCTTGCAGCTGCCAGGGCTTACAGCTACTGAGTTCTGGGCCTCGCAGCTACTCTGGCTTTGTCCGGAGGGACGTCTGCTCCAATGAGCATATTACCCTTATTAGTATAGATTGTTCATAAAGCTGTTAATAAAAATGAATGTATAATAAAGTAAGTTTTATTTATAACTAGAGGCCTGGTGCATGAAATTCGTGCACGGGGAGGGTGGGTTCCCTCAGCCCAGCCTGCACCCTCTCCTATCTTGGACCCCTTGAGGGATGTCCGACTGCTCGTTTAGGGATTGGGCCTAAATAGGCAGTTGGACATACCTCCCTGATTGTCCCAAACCACTTCTGCCTGCCAGCCTGATCATATTCTAACCACTCCCCTGCCAACCTGATTGATGCCTGCTTCCCTACCAGCCTGGTCACCCCTAACTGCCCTTCCCTGCAGGCCTGGTCACCCCCAACTACTCTCCCCTGCAGGTCTGGGTCCCTCTCAACTGCCCTTCCCTGCAGGCCTGGTCCCTCCCAACTGCCCTCCCCTGCTGGCCATCTTGTAGCAGCCACCTTGTGTCCACATAAGGGCATCCCTCTTTGATCACATGAGGGCAGCCATCTTGTGTGTTGGAGTGATGGTCAACTTGAGTATTACTCTTTCATTAGATAGGATAGAGGCCTGGTGCACGGATGGGGGCCAGCTGGTTTGCCCTAAAGGGTGTCTCGGATCAGGGTGAGGGTTCCCTTGGAGTGTGGGGCAGCCTGGTTGAGGGGTCTGGGGGCAGCCTGGCTGAGGGGGTCTGTGGTGGTTTGCAGGCTGGCCATCAACCCCCCCCCCCCCCCCCCCTGCGACCCAAGTGGAGGCCCTGGTACCTGGGGTTTATTTATCTTCTATAATTGAAACTTTGTAGCCTTGAGGGGAGACCAAGGCAGGCCAGGGCTGCAGAAGCTTGGCTTCCTCCATTGCCTGGGGCAACTCAAGCCTCCTGTTCTCTTCAGCTCTATGACTGCCGCCATTTTTGTTGCTATTTATTTATCTTCTATACCTAATTCAAACTTTGTAGCCTTGAGCGGAGGGCAAGAGGAAAACTTGGCTTCCTCCATTGCCGAGGAAACCCAAGCCTCCTGCTTGCAGCCATCTTGGTTGGGTTAATTTACATACTCGTTCCTAATTGGCTGCTGGTTGTGGCTTGGGGATGTGTGGAAGTACAGTAAATTTGCATATTACTCTTATTACATAGGATGGTGCATATGTCTACACATCTTCACCATACTTACTATTGTCAGACTTATTTTGCTAGTCTGGTAAGTAGAAAATGATGTTTCATTTTGGTTTTAATTTGCATTATCTTGATTTCTGATGAGGTTTAGCTTTTTGAATTGTCATGTGTTCTTTGTATACAATTAAATCAAATATGAAAAATGATAGTTTTTCTTGCCTTGTTGGCTAAGCCCTTCAGAATATTTATTACAGATAGTGATGGCAGGCACCCTTATCTTAATCTTAAAAGGAATCCTTTTATAGTTCACTATTAAGTATAATATTTACTACTAGAGTCTCGCTGCACAAAATTTGTGCATGGTGGGGGGTCCCTTAGCCCAGCCTGCACCCTCTCACAATCTAGGACATCCCTCTCCCAATCTGGGATCGCTGGCTTCTAACCGCTTGTCTGCCTGCCTGTCTGATCAATCCTAACCAATCTACCTGCCTGCCTGATGGTCCCTAAATGCCTCTGCTTTGGCCCCTGCCATTGCAGCTTTATCTGAAAGGATATCTGGAATGACGTCCAGAAGTTCATTCAGCTGTCTGGCCTAATTAGCATATTATGCTTTTATCATCATGTTAGGCTTTTGTGTATATCCTTTATTAGGTTAAGGAAGTTCCCTTCTGTTTCAGATTAACTAAGAGCTTTGCTTTGTTTTCTAAACTATAATGATGAATTTTATTAAACCGTAGGTAGTCATATGACTTCTTATTCAAATGTTATTTTTATGAATTGTATTGTTTTTCTATTTTGTATTCCTGGGATAATTGTTACATTTGACCCTTTTTATGAATTGATGAATTCCCTTTTTCAGGACTTTTGCAAGTATATTTATGAATGACACAATCTGGATTTTCTGTTCTCATACTCTTCTTGCTATTTTCCCCCCCCATTAATTAGAAATCTGAGTTGTATCTTATCTTTTGCCACAACTAAGGTCAAGTTTAACATAGTTGGTCATTGTGTTTATGATCTTGGTCTTTTAATTCTTTTTGTTTGAATCTAGACTTCCCTTCCCCGCGCCCCCCCCCCCCCCCCCAACCACACATACTTACTCTAAATTTAATGGCTTAATTAATTACAGTCTAAGCCTTCGTGGTCACAATGGTAGATAAGCTAATTTGTGTTTATAATATTAGTTCCTAATGTTAAGACAAACCAGACTGTTAGCCTATTTTATAGTATTTTCCCCCTGCAATTTCACCAGTTTTCTCTTTTTAAACCTAAGAAAGAAGATCCATGTCTAGACATATTTTTAAAAATATACATATTTTTATTTATTTCTGGGAGGGAGAGAGAGATAGAAACGTCAGTGATGAGAGAGGATCATTAGTTGGCTGCTTTCTGTGTGCTCCACACTGGGGATTGAGCCTGCAACCTGGCATATGCCTTGACTGGGGAATTAAACTGTGACCTCCTGCTTCATAGGTTGATGCTTAACCAGTGAACCAACACATCCAGGCCATGTCTAAACATATTAAACAGCTATTACAGAGAATTATTTTGTATTATCTTGAAAGAATAAAGAAAGTAAAATTAAACATTATTTTAGACTTATTAGTTATAGCTTAACTATTTTTATTATTATATTTAATTTCTTGCTGGAATTTTAGTAGCATTAAGTCAATGCAGCCGATTAACAATATGTTAATGGTATACATACACTGAGTGGCCAGTTTATTATGATTTCTGAATGCATAATCTGGCCACTGTGTGTGTGTGAATGTATGTATGTATGTATTAGAGGCCCGGTTCATGAATTCGTGCATGGGTGGGGTCCAGCCAGCCTGGTCATGGGGAGGGGATATGGGTATGGGTGGTTGGCCAGCTTGTCTGCTGGTTGAACTCCTGGTAGAGTGGACAATTTGGATATTAGCCTTTTATTATATAGAATATACACTGAGTGGCCAGATTATTATGCGTTCAAAGATCCTAATAATATGGCCACTCAGTGTATGTGCCTGTCAGGCCCTTATTTTTCAAAGAACATCAAGGTCATTGTGTTTATTTTCATTGAATATTAGAGTTCTGAAAGCATATTAAGGCTATTGTGTTTATTTTCATTAAAGATAAAGGGCCCTTTGCTAATAATGCATGAAGTATGAAAAAATAAACTCTCTTTATTTGTAGGAGCCCCTCAATAGTGAAGATGATGTGAGTGATGAGGAAGGACAGGAACTCTTTGATACTGAAAATGTGGTTGTATGCCAATATGATAAGGTAAGCATTTTATCATCAGATTTCTGACAGTTTTTCTGTTGTAATTACTTTGCTAAATCATCCTTTCTGACTTGTTCAAATATTTGGACAACTGATTGATATCTTTTATTTTAGTATAAACAGTAAATGAATGAGAACATTGTTATAGTTTAGTATATAATGTTAATATGTAAAAAACTTGGGTTGTAACGACCAGTAATGACAGAGGCTCGACCAACTGGAAGTCAGTCCTGCAGTCATCACTGGGTGCTGTGGCACTGACTGCTGAGGGAGCTGTGAATCTGGGTCAGAGAGAGGCCTGAAGAGAGAAGCAGGGACTGATCCCCTTGCCTCTGAGGCAGCTTTTGATCAGCTCTTTCTCTCTCATTCTGGCCAGCAGCTGCACCTCTAATCAGGCCCTGTTGATAGGTCCAGAGATACCGACTGGCATAGAAACCGACCAATCAGAACCAAATCTGGGTGCTGTGGGGAGCCAATGGCTGACTAGCAGGCAGAGCTTTTGATGCTGACTGGCATAGAAACTGAACAATCAGAACCAAATTGACCAGCAAAGGAGGGCAATTGGGGGTGAGATCAGGCCAGCAGGCAAGGGCCGTTGGGGGTGAGATCAGGCTAGCACGGGAGGACATTTGGGGGCGAGATCAGGCCATGGAGGTGGGGGGCGGGCAGTTGGGGGTAACCAGGCCAGCAAGGGAGGGCAGTTAGGGGAGGATCAGGCAGGCAGTCCTGCAGGGGAGGACAGTTAGGGTAGATCAGGCTGGCAGGCAGAGGCAGTTAGGGCTATTGGGCAGGCAGGCAGGTGAGCTGTTGGGAGCCAGCGGTTCCAGATTGAAAGAGGGATAACCGGCAGTCGCACATCCCTAAGGGGTCCCCAATTAGAGAGGGTGCAGGCTGGGCTGAGGGAAGCCTTCCTCCCCTGTGCATGAATTTTGTGCACTGGGCCTCTGTAAACTGAGAAATTAATACATGGAGAAATTAATTGTATAGCTTTATATTTTGAAAATAAGTTATTAATGAAATCTTGGAGTTGTTAAGTCCCAACTTGTTAACAAAGTAAACAGAACTACTTTTGAATTGTCCTTTAACATAATTCTATTTTTTTATCTAGTCTAAATTACCTCAAAACTACAAGGTTTTAATTAAATCTCTGCAACTTTTTTTTTTATTACTAAGCAAAGAACTATCAGTAATAAGACTGATAACTAACAAACATATACATTCTTACTGTAAATTATTTTAAAAGTTATTTAGCTCTACTGTATTTTAGTATCATTAAGGAATTTTTAAATGAGATTCTGTGATAATTGGCTCTTTTTTTTTTTTTAAATCAATCTTTATTGTTCATATTATTACAAAGGTTCCTCATTTCTTCCCCCCTCCACCAGGTTCCCACTCCACCCTCCGCCACCTCCCCAACTCCCATTGTCCTCATCCATAGGTGCACAGTTTATGTTCAGTCTCTTCTTCCCTCCCTTTCCCTGATAGTAAAATCCCTTTTCAGATAGTAATTCAGTTACTTAGCATTTTCTCATATCAATAATACCTCCACATGCCCAAAGATACACTTCACACAAAAGACATTTCCCAATAGGTCAACTAGCCTCATCCAGGCCCCACCCAAGGCACTCACAGATCAACACCCCAGCCCTATACTAACTCAACACATACAGATCTAAGCCTTCATCACTTGATTCAGCGGACCCTCAAGTTCCCGCGAAAGTTTCCAGCCATGTCTGAGAGGCAGCCGTGGGGCAAGGGCAGGCGAGGAGCGAGCTGTTCCGAGCCTGGCTGCTCAGGGCCTGGCCTCTGTTGCTCTGGTTCGTTCCACAACAAGCTGCTCCGGGTCTGGTCCCTGCCGCTCCCGACCTAGTTGCTCTGGACTTGGCTGCTGCTGCTCCGGGCCTGGCCACTCCCAGCCTGGCAGCCGCTGCTCCGGGCCTGGCCGCACCCGACCCGCCTGCTCCCCCGGGCCTGGCCGCTCCCAGCCTGGCAGCCGCTGCTCCGGGCCTGGCCGCACCCGACCCGGCTGCTCTGGGCCCGGCTGCCCCGGGCCCGGCCACTCCGACCCTGGCCACTCTCGGCCTGGATGCTCTGGGCTTGGCTACTGCTGTTCTGGGTCTGGCTGCTCCCACCCCGGCTGCTCTGGGCCCGGCTTCTCCGGGCCCGGCCACTCCGGGTCTGGGTATTCCTGGACTGGCCACCCTGGGCTTGGTCGCCTCCGCCTCAGGCCTGGCTGTCACTGCCCCAGGTCTGGCTGCTCCAGTGCTGGCTGTTGATGCTCTGGTTCTGGCTGCTGCTGCTCTGGGGCCTGGCCGTTGCTGCTCTGGGCCTGGCTGCCACTGCCTTGTGCCTGGCCAATCTAGGCCTGGCCGCTGCTGTTCCAACATTCTGTCCTTTTTTTTCTTTTTTTTTTTTTTAAACGCATTTATGTTGCAATGTTGGCTGGTGAGTTGAGTTCTGACATAGTCTTTGATTTTTCAAGAATTTCTTTGTATTCTTTCTTAAGTAATTTTACTATCTTTTGCTCTCACTTGATTTCTTCACATTGAGAACTTCATTGGTTTCTTCCTCCTTGTTCTGGGAGCTCAGCAGGTTGGCCTGTGGCACCCCTTTGTTCTCCGCGGGCTCCTGCGCTGCTTTAGCCTGTTGCCGGGGATGGCGCCGCCCAGGAAGCAGCTCCCGGGCCTTGGCTCCATTGCCTGTGCTCAGCGGTGGAAGGCTCAGGGGCACCCCCTCCCCCCCCCCAGGGTCCCTGTCGCCCAGCTCCTTGCTGGTTCCCGGTTGGCTGGCGTCCTGCAGGGGATCCTGCTCCCCGCCGTGTTCCCCCAGCCCGGAGCTTTTTTTCTCCTTCCCGCTAGGGGAGTCCAGCATCAGAGTCAACAGACTGTCCTCTGCGCGCAGTTTGCGCAAGTCCGGGGGCCCGGCCTTTCGCTGCTCTCCCCGGACTCCACCTCACAGCCCCGTCTCCCTCTGCCTGAGCCTGGGTCCCCAGGGATTGGCCCAGAACTGGGGTTCGGAGCAGTCCGGACTGAGGCCCAGCGCCGCCGGAGGCCTTGTTTCTTCCGGCTAGGGTAACCCAGCATCAGAGTCAACAGTCGGTCCTCTGCACGCGCATTGCGCGCGACTCCGGGGGCCCTGCTTTTCGCCACTTTTCCGCCTCACAGCCCCGTCTCCTCCTGCCGGAGCCTGGGTCCCCAGGGTCTGGCCCATAACTGGGGCTCAGCGCTGCCGGTTCGGGGGTTCAGCCCAGGCTGGGGGTTTTATTTCCTTCCTGCTAGGGAAGGAAAGGCAGCACCCTGCCCTCTCCTCCTCTCCGGCTATGACCTCTCCGCGCGCGCGTGCGGGCGGGCTCGCAGCATGTCTCCGTACCTTAGGCTTTTTTTCAGCTCCTCTGATTTTCCTTCTGGTTTTCTCTTTCCTTCTTGTTGTAGAATTTTCAGTCAGTCGACTACCTGTAGCTCTGGGCAATGTCCACTCTACATCTTAGTTGTATTCCATTGAAATTGTTGTGTGCTGCCGCGGCTAGATGTCTACCCGAGCAGCCATCTTGGATCTCCGATAATTGGCTCTTGATTCCTTATTTACTTAATTCTTAAAAAGGGTGCTACTTTCCAAGTATTTTTATTATAGTTATTGGCATTATTATTGAGATTTTATGTTATTTATTAAACATCTAATTTGGAATTAAATTTGTTTTCTGGCTACAGTAATTAAATTCATAATAAATCTATAAATTGTATTGCATTTATAGTTAATTTATTAAAATACCTATACTACCAATCTACAGATTCCCAGTGCATTCCCTATTAAAATCCAGTGACATTTTCCACAGATACAGAACAGACAAACCTAAAATTTGTATGAATCACAAAAGACCCTTCAATGAAAGTAAATTTGAGAAAGAACAAAAAAGGTTCAGTCATCATGCTTCCTGAATTCAAACTGTATTACACAGCTGTAGTAATCAAAACAGTATGGAATTGGCATAAAAACAGACACATAGATAAATGGAATAGAAAAGAGAGACCAGAAATAAACCCATCCATATTTGTTAGGACAAAATAGCCAAGAATACACAATGCGTAAAGCACAATTTCTTTAATAAATGGTATTGGGAAAACCTATCACACATACACAAAAACCAACTAAATGCATGAAAGACTTAAGATCTGAAACTGCTAAAAATTCCTAGTTGGTAAGGTCCTTAACATCAGTCTGGTTTTTTATTTGATCAAAACAAAACAAAAAACAAAAACTAATCAAGTGGACTACATCAAACTAAAAAGCTTCTGCACAGCAAAGGAAATAATAAAATGAAAAGGCAGCCTATTGAATGGGAGGAAATATTTGCAAATCACACATATGATAAGGAGTTAATATCCAAAACACATAAAGAACTCATACAACTCAATAGCAAAAAAACAGTCTGGTTTAAAAATGGGGAGATCTGAATAGACAGTTTTCCAAAGAAAATATACGAATGGCCAATTCGTACCTGAATAGGTCCTTATTAACATGAGTAATCATCAGGGAAATGCAAATCAAACCCATAGTAAGCTGTTACCTCATTAACATTACCTATTAGAAGAAAAAAGAAAGTAATGTGTTGGCAAGGATGTGGAGAAAAGGGAACCTTTGTGCACTGTTGGTGGAAATGTAAGTTGGTACAACCAACATAGTAAACAGTATGTACGTTCTTAAAACAATAAAAAAAAGAACTACCATATAATCCCACAAATCCACTTTTGGGTGTTTTTTCAAAGGAAACACTAACTGGAAAAGATGTATGACACCCATGTTCACTGCAACATTTAAAAAAAAAAAAGTACATTTTTTAAAATTGACTTTAGAGAAGAAGGGATAGGGATAGAGAGAGAAACATCAATGATGAGAGAGAATCATTGATCAGCTGCCTCCTGCACGCTCCCACACTGGGAATCAAGCTTGCAACTGGGGCATGTGCCTTGACAGGAATCAAACCGTGACCTCATGGTTCATAGGTCAATGCTCAACCACTGAGCCATGCGGGGCTGGGCTCATTGCAACATTTTAGCCAAGCCATCGAAACAGCATAAGTGTCCATCAATAGATGAATGGATAAAGAAATAATGAGATACACAATATATAATAGCAATACAGATAATGGAATAATATTCAGTCATCATAGAGAATGAAATGTCCTAGCCTGCAGACCAAAGGGTCATGGGTTCGATTCTGGTCAAGTGCACATACCTCGGTTGCAGATTAAATCCCCTGCCCTAATAGTGGATGCGTGTGGGAGGCAACCAATTCATGTGTTTCTCACACATTAATGTTTCTCTTTCTATCTCTCCACCTCCCTTTCACTCTCTAATGATCTCATTTATATGTTTAATCTTTTAAAACAAACTGAACTCATAGTTACAAAGGGTAGAATGATAATTGCCAGAAGTGAGGAGTGAGGGATGGGTGAAGGTGGTCAAAACGTACAAACTTCCAGTTATAAAATAAATTTGTGAAGGGATATAATGTACAGCATGATGACTATAGCTAATATTACTGTGATGTGTATTTGAAAGTTGCTAAGAGAATAGTTTTTAAAAATTCTCATCACAAGAAAAAGTTGTGACTGTGGGTGATGAATGTTAAATAGATTTGATTGTGATTATTTCTCAATGTATAAAAATATTGGATTATATGTTTGTTGTACACCTGAAACTAATAGAATGGTACATGTCAATTATATCTCATTTAAAAAATTAATTTGCAAATGCAGTAATGTATAAGACAAAGGTTTTTTGTTGTGTGAATGGGCTTTTTTGTTCCTTTGTTGTTCGTATTTCTTACATTCTTTATTTGTTTCTTTAGATACACAGAAGTAAAAACAAATGGAAATTTCATCTCAAGGATGGCATTATGAATCTTAATGGAAGAGATTATATATTTTCCAAAGCCATTGGAGATGCAGAATGGTGAAGAGTTGGTTCTTTTCTTTTATAAATAAAATGAAAGAAACTTTAAAAAAAATTAAAGTGACAGTTTGAAACTTGGGACATACTCCAACCAAAACTTAACTTCTGCATGTCAGAAAAAGTGCAGTAGAAGCAAAGCTACTGGAACAAAGAGACCTTGACAACATAGACACTACTTCTAACTGGCAAGCCATGGAACTGTAGCACCTGGGGTTGTTGGGGAAGGGGGCATTGGGGTTTTGTGTAGGAAAACCCTAATTGTCCATTTTAAATACAGGTACCTGCCACTGGTAATTAGCATGTAAAGCTTTGTCTATATTCCTTCCTCCACCTTGGGTTCACTCAGAAAATACTTGTTAGAATGAACTAAAGAAACTTCCCTTTTGATAGATTGAAATGAAACTGCTTATTGTATGTGGTTATGTTTGGTAAAAATTGCGTGTGCGCTTTTTACAAGAGGGCAAGAATTATGGTGTTGAATTTTAATTGACTTGTGTAAGGAAACAATTTAGAACTCTTATAATAGGTCTTACATATTTTTACTTGCTTTTCTCCCTCAGTGATATATACCTCTTACTTCCCTGCTTTATGAAACACCTGTTTAAGAGTTAAAGGAAGTAATCAATGACCACAATTTGGAGACAAAATTTGACCCAGGAATGGCTACTTATTTTAATTAGGTTTTCATAATCATTAAACTAAAGTCTCGTCTAAGCAGAATTAAAATGCCAATTTCAGTTTCCTTACAAAAAAGTGTAATTGTTTCTTTTAGCCCCATATCTTAAAAAGAAATCATTAAGTGGCTCCTTGGAAATATGGTTTTATTTTACAAAGGTACCATTTAGCTGAAATATACATAAGACTAAATACAGATTTTTCCCAGTTGGGCTGAAGTGCATGCTTATATGGGTTGTTTAGTCTAAGCTAAACATACATTCAGATAACATTCAGTGCATTGACTGAAGTGTTAGGCAGTGGTGAGGACCTGGGTTTTTATTAAACAATTTAATAATTATAAAAGTTTCTTGTCTTTACTAGTAAAGAATTATAAAACTATTATTTTAATTGAACAGATTTTTAAAAATTTAACTTTGTAATTTGAGGGGTAATTTTGAGGTAGGAGGGTGTGGGCCACTAAGTACATATTTACCTCTTTCATTTGGTGGCCCATCTAGGCCATTGATAATATTAAATACATGGGCTTTAGTTTGCACACCGGGAAGAAAGCATATAAATTTGACTTTTATTGAAAATAATAGAAACTTAGTATGTATATTAATAATACATAGCTCTAATTCTGTAAGGGGCTCTAAAATACAATATGGCAGTACTGTGCTCAGTGTGCACGAGTTGCCTGGGAGAACTGTAGGAGCACTTGTCTTCACCTTTGTTCCTACAGCTAATTCTTTTCATGGTTTATCTGGCCAGAATTCACATGTGTTTAACTTTTGTATATTGATTTTTTAAAAGTCTTCCATTTTTATCTTTTATTTGCCTTTGTGTTTCCAGAAGTAAAATAGAAACACTTTAAAGTACATTGCAAAGAAAAACTGTGAGCTTATTATATATTTCTTTTTTTTTTTTTAACACAAAATTTTAAAATTCTCAAAAAGGCTAATCCCCCCCCCCCCCCCCCCCCCAATTCCTACCCCACATTACCAACTTGGTCCCTTTAACTTATGTTCTGAACTTTGATATAAATGGTGGTTTCTGGCATGCTAGTAGTTAGGTTTTATTAGATGCCGTAACTGGTAATACGGTTTTTATTTTTGCTATGTTAATTTAGTTTTTTGGAGGGGAGATTTATTTGTTTCCCGATTACTCTCAAAGCACACATATGTTTGTTTGTTTTATTGAGATTGGGAGAAGAGGAGGGAGGGGGTGGAATCACAGAAGTCCTCTTGTTCAGTTGTCCTTCAGTATAGTTGATAGTAGGTTGATATTTACCCAATGAAGAGTCATTGACCTGAACTACCTATAAAAGTTTAGCAGTGCTGCAGTGTTGATTGAAACCTTTTGGCTATATAGTAGTTATTATGCTACTGAACCTTGTATTATTATATGATATTCAGCTCATGTTTTGGGCCCTCTATGTAGGCAAGCATTTGATATTCATAGTAGAATTGGATACTAGCCTGTTTTTATAATGTTATTTTCAAACATGAAAAACCACTGCTTTCAGAGTGATTCACTTGGGTTATTTTGAAGCAGGAATTAACTATTTGTAGTAGTTGCACCTGTGTATTGCATATTAATTAAGGCACACTTGGCAAATGCTTTTCTTTTACCTGTGAAAATCCTGAGAGCCAGATCAACAACACTGCATACCAAATTGTGTTCTTATGTATCACTGCATTGTGTTCCTTTTTAATTAAATAGCATGTTTTAGTTTTATTATGGTGGCTTGCTATAAGAATGCCACTTGCTTATCTTTTATTGTACTTGAATTCTTAATCATGTTTTTAACATTGTATTTAACAAATCATTTCATTAAGTTCTATAAAAATGTCATTCCTTTGAAAAGGCAAGGATTCCCACTTCAGAATTTTAAAATGAAAATGTTTATTCAAAGAGGGAAAATTGTTCAGACTTGGTTTTATGAAAACAGGTGAAGTTTCCAGAAGAGAAATTGTTTAGATTTGCACAGAAGGTGATGGCACCTTTTATTAAAAAAAGATGAACATTAACAGTGTGAAGGGAAATTTACGTAAAATTACTTGATAAAGTGTGGAAATGTGTGCCTTTCAGTATCTGTACTCTTTTTTGTTGGTGGTCATTGGGATAATCAGACCACATGCATGCCTGAGAGCACAGTTAATTTCTGTGGAGAGCCACATTTTGCTAAAACAACTCTTTAATGTGCAATTAGTTTCTATAATAAAATGTCTGTTATATAAGGGGGATCTTTATATTGGGCTTTTATATTTTTTTAAATGTTCACAGTTTCTTTCTGTTAATTAAATGCCATCATAATACCACATTTATATTGCCTCTCTCAAAATTAAAGCCACCTTGATGTTCTAGGAATACATCAAGATTTGAGCAGTGTGTATAGTAATTTTGAAGAGCATAATCTAATAGATTCTGGTTTTAGACATCAAGAACATAAAAATATAATAGCTTTTGTATAAAGATTTTCTTTTGCTATAGAGAAAATCAAGGATTTGGTTTTCTTATTTTTTCTGCTTTTTATGGAGGAATGAAAAGGGTTGTCTCCTCTTAAGACTAATTTTTGATTATCTTATAGCAATAATGTCACCATTCTTTTCAGAAGATAAATATGCCTTGTGCAGGAAAACAGACATAATTTCCTCTTGGGGGTTCCCTTTATAACTTAACATTTTCTTCCACTTAGAAAATTTCTATTTTTTTCAGATTATTTCATCTTGAACTTTTTTGAGATTTTGTGCAATGTAATATTTTATTGAATCCATCTTTGTACATTTTCATTTTATTTCATTTGTCTGTCTTCCACCTGTCTGAATCAGCTATTCAGATTTTGAATTCATTGGTTAAAAAGTAGTTGCTTTTATATAGTTCCTCATGAGTTTATGTTAAATAGTTTTGCATTTTAATCTATTATGCTATGGAAATTATTCTGAAGTTTATATTTCCCTTTTAAGCTTGCTTTAGTCTATTTTTTGTCATTTTTTATGGTTTAAGGAAGAACACACAAACTTAATATTTTTGTTTGTTTTGAGGAACAAAAACTTTTTTCCTTTTTTAAAGGAAGAACTCATTGAGTTATTAGTAACTACTAACTATTAGTAAGTTACTATTTACCTAGCTAATAACTATTTCTATCAAGGTTCCTTAAATCAGTCCAGTATGCGTCAGGGCCACAATTTGGGGGAGGGACTAATCCTTTTTTGCTGTTCTGAGCTACTGTTGTCAACTGCTGTTGTACATACTGTTATGTGTAAGGGCGTAAATATATTTATTATGTTTGTATAATTCATCTGTACAATTGCAGATCAAGGTTGCTCTTCTGTGATATACGGGATATTATGTTTTAAAGAACATCTTGGAATACAATTAGAGAACTTAGTATTTTGATGTACTAAGACCTATTTTAAGTTTAATATTTTACCTTTGCAAAACTTTTAATTAAAGATGTTATTTAAAGTAATGTTGCTTGCTTTGCTTACTAGTGTATAACGTTATATAGATAACAATAAAAATTATACAGTTTAGAAAGGAAAATGCTTTATATTGTTAATGAAAGTAAATTCCATTTATCTACAAAAGGGGTATCATTATGTCCTATACCTTTAAAATTAAGTAGGATGGGATATCATTCTGCGTTATTCAACTGAACTACAAATGCTAATGGCTTTAAAAAAGAATAATTGTATTTCCCAGCACACAGGAATTTAAATTGGGCTAAATCCTCACCAACAAATTGTTACTAAAATTGATGTAAATATATATTGTATTAAATGAGTATTTCTACTCCAAAGAATAGATACTTAGGATACAATTATTTCAGAATATACTTGTTTTTTAATTCATCTGTTTAGCTAACTCTTTTAATTCAGTTTGTAAATAATTGCATAATAGAATCAGATTTCTGAGGTCTATATTATATATTGAATATATTTTGTGTTATATTTGAAGCTATTAAATCATTAGCAGGCATTTTAATTATATAATTAATTCAAGTGAAACATTAAGAAGTTTGTCTTTTTGTAATTTTTTATCCTGTTATGGACTACTGTAGGAGACATGCAAATTTTAACCATTAAAAACAATCATAATAAAGATTTTATTGCCAGAAAACCTTGTAATTTTGCAGTTTAATACAGGTTCCTAAGTTGATGATCAACCTTTTTGGCCTTAGTTTTTCTGTCTATAATGTATATGGTTTCAAGGATTAAGTGAGGTATTACATGTATAGCTCTTAGAATGGATTTTGACATACTTGAGTATTCAGATGTCACAATTCAGTTATTAATTTCATAATTATATTTGCCTAATATAAAATGACTGGTAGAGTTGAAAAAA